ATGGGGTTTTAAACTCGCTGAACCCGAATCTGAGGTCCGTTAACGTCCATAAAGTCAGGTTCGAGGCCATTTGAGAGTCAGACCTCGGATTCGCATTCAGGGCGTCGAATAACATAGGATTATAGTGGTTTGGTTCAATATGCAGAAACAGTTTTTTGTCGTTACTCGTTACATTGATTTTTTACTTTTTTATCATTTTTAACCGTTACTCAGTATTTATGACCGATTTAACTCTTTTGTGATGTATATCAGAAAATAACATTTTTTTTTTCGAAAAAAAAATAGAAATCCAAAAATATCGATAATGTGGATCTAAAAAATTAAAATCATAAAATAACGGTTAAATTTGATCAGAAAAATAGAAATCCAATTTGAACAGTTAAATTATAGTTTTAATTATAGAGATCATACGCTACGGATTTTGGCATAAACCTTGACCTTTGTTATAAAAAACTTACTACGTCCTTAAGCGATCAACCTTAACCTAGAATTTTTTGCACATTTCCATTTCGGATTCATCTCACCACAGTATTCCATATTCGTTTATGAGGTTTCCAAATGGCATACAGTTTATAATTGTCGATCACAGTGTAGCCGCTATGAAAATAATTCTTACTAAGTATGTTTTGTACCACATACTCCATTACTCATTATCTTCCGAGTAAGCACCGATTTGACAGCAGTAATTGATTTATGATATTTAGTTGCAAAAATTAGGACAAACGCGCACCATTTTCGCGTACATACATACATACCTCTGCCTTATGACTAAACTTTCTCTCTTGAGGGTTACATATTTGCGATATATGTATTAGATTATCTGCAAAAACAGCAACGGCACACACCCTCGAAACTATCAAAATGCGAAAAGGAACAGTCACTTGAAGTATAATTTTTGCTGTACTTTTGAATAGTTAAAAAGAAATGTTTATCTTGAATGACTTATCGACGACAACACATGTCGCGCAACAGAAGTGACCGCAAAATACGACCAAAAAGTAGTGAACGGGCAAGTGTATTTTTAAGTGACAACAACAAAAAAATTACTGCGCGCCAAACAAGTGACGAATGACGAACGATGGCAGCGCTGTTAAATTTTTAAGTAGAATTTTAAAGAAAAAATGGCAGAACATAAAAAAAAAACACAAAAATGTAGCATTGAAGGCATACAGATCTAGCCGATGATGATACCATGCTCAAAAGTTTTTTTTTTTTATGTAGAGCTGCTGATCTGGAGTAGAGTAGTAAAAACGAGGCATTAAAAAATTTGCAAAAAAATGTAGATGAGTGAGCGCGGCGGCGGCAAAATACCGACCCAAGTGGTGTGCTGACTGCCATTGTCCGCACTTCATACGCGTGCGCATATTCATACATACATACATATGTAATTATAAATGGCGTTTGCAACATAAACAGGAGGAGCATGCCATGCCGCCACAGCCGGCGAAACATTAATTATGGTACAGTGTTGTTGTTGCACAATTTCTTATAAAACTATTTATAAATGACACAAAAAGTAATGCAGAAATGCGAAAATAATTAAACTTCAAAAAAAAAGCTACCCAAAATAGCAGCAGTTGCCATGAAATTCTACAAAAAAGTTAATGTCAATGCTATAAGCAAAAAGCCACAGCGACAAGAGCAAGGAGCAGAGGAGCACATGCTACTGACAGCCGCTCCGGCGAGCAAACAGGCAACCAATCGATTTAGCGGCTGATGGCTGCTGTTGCAAAAAAAAAATTATCATCACATTACTTTCATCTATATATATCTATTTATGTATGTACATATGTATGTTTGTGTGAATATGTACTAAGTAAATGCAGATAAATTTGTGACGGCTGACGCGCTCAAAAGGAAAAACAGCAAAAAAAAAATCGAAATGGGTATTGCATTGAAATCAACCGCAACATACGACATAAGGACGATCCAAGACGCGTGCCACTTGCGCGTACAACTACAAAAAAAAAAAAACAATAGCAAAAAGGAAAAAATAATATGATCAACAATCAGCTACCCTTCTGATGCTACAGCCAAAAATAGCGATAAACTCAACAGACGCGCAGCCGTACAAGCAAATTAACATACCAGTGCAAACAGGCAGCTACATAAATACACACATACTGCAGTTTGAATGCACATGCGCGCCAGCCAAATACCCAAATGTAGAGCATTGTTGGTACCATCCCATCGAAGTTGCACAGAGACATACGTATATACTTGCTTATTCGAGTCTGTATGTGAACCTCTTAAGATTGTTGTAGCAGCAAAACGTAAGAATCCTGTCTGGCATCTGCTGCTGCCTGTGCCTGTGTTGAAAATGAGGACAATAAACTGGTTGGTTGGCAAGGATAACAGCGCAGGGCGCACAAGATGCTCTACCAGCAAAAAACAATTGAAATAAATGCTATTGCTGCTACAAAAGGTAGCATGGATGGTGTAGGATGGACGAAAAAGGATCAAGTAGGCTGTTACACGTTTTAGTTTTTTTTTTCATTTGCCACGTGTTTTTCTTTTATATTTTTATCGACAATTGGAAAATGGGCATGCGCCAGCTGCTATTTAAGTACAGTGGGACAGATTATGTACATACATACTAAATACATGTATGTATATACATTAGGGTGGTGCAAAACAAGTAAAGTCGGAATTTTAATGCTCTCACCCCTAGGATTATTCTATATCAAAAAAAATATACCCCTATTTTATTATTTTGAAAACAAAAAATATTTAGAGGTCGCTTTGGAAGCTTTGACCATGTTTCAAGTTTTCCATGTATTTGATATGCGGAAAAAACAAATTTTCGTAGAAATGGTATGGAATTCTTGATAATCAATATTTTTCCATCAGAAAACTGTGGTTCTCTAGAGGAGACTCCCAATAACAATACCCAATTGTTTATTTAACAATTTTTTAATACTAAAGATTTTTTATTTTTTTCCGCATTGCATTTTCTGACATTTTCTGGGGGGTTTTGGCGTACCTACAAAATATAGTTACTATAAAAAATGGTTAAACAAATAATTGGGTAATATTATTGGGAATCTTCTGAAGTAAAACCTTTGAGCGCTTTGAGCGACCTCTAAATATATTTTGATTTCAAAATAAAAAAGGGTATATTTTTTCGGTATAGAACAATCCTAGGGGTGAGAACATAAAAATTCCCACTTTACTTTTTCACATGCATTTTTGGATCACCCTAATATACATACATTTGGGAACCTCACTCTTCATAAAAAATCGTGACAGTTTTCCATTTATTCCAAAATATTTCGGAAAATATTAAGATTTAAATACGTGACCTGGACCTATTTGAATATAGCTCCGAAAATCTGATAATTTTGATTCCATTGATAAAATTTTTGAACATTTTTATACCGAATTTGTATGCCTAAACTCTGAGTAGGTTAAAAAAATATATGTATGTATATATTGAAAAATCGATTTTTGGGGTTGTTTCCAAATGGGTCCAACTCACGTAAATCGTATCTAATATTTTTCCGAAATATTTTGGCGGAAGTCTTTAGGAGTAATAAATTTTATAATTCCAATGGAAAAAAACAATACCTCGTTTTTATGGACATTGATGCACCCTAATGTACATACGTATGATATAGTATGTATGTTGATAAATATTGTTTTTTTTTTAATTTGTAAATTTTTTATTATTTATCAAGAATTAGAATTTTAGCACAAAAATCAAAAGCTCTTTTCTTGATAAATTATCAAGATTGATGACGCGTAAATCTATAGTGCTTACAATAACTATACGATACCCATATATTGGCAAGTTTTGTTTATTAATTTTTTATTATTTAATTTTTACTTTTTGTATAAAAAATAGTTCATTCTACTATAACAAGAACTATATACATAAATCATAGTTTCTAAGATTGTACAAAAATTAAGAAATCGATGTTTCATCAAAATTTCAAACTTTTTAATCAGATACTACGTTTATACGCACAGAATAATCGACTTAATTGAAAGCGCATTGACACCGTACACATTTCGCTCTAGTGTTTATACTTACGGCTTTATATCGGCATCAAAGTAACCGTCTTCAAAAGCAAACAAAATAAGCTGTTTTCATTTGACATTTTATAAGTTAACATAATGGAAAGTGATAAAAATCTAGTTTTATTCGGCATTATAAAATCGTGGCAAAGAAAAAGAACGATTATTATTAATCAGCTTTTAAATACTGATGCGATTATTTGGAATTTGAGCGGAACAGCTGATCTCCGATTCGCTTAGAGTGAGAGCGGTGTTTATACACTCTTTCTAACTGTCTGGAGAAATAAACTACCGTTTTGAAATGGAGTGTGAGCCAAAACACTTCGCTCTTTCAAAGCGAGTTGAAATTAAGTTTATACATATGTTTTGAATCGCGGCGAAATGAATTAAAGCGACTTATGCATGCGTATAAACGTAGTAAGAGTCAGAGTTTTATTGCTCATTCAATTCTAATAATGCCGCTACAGCAACAACAAATAATGGGGATTCCTCTAACCGCGTAAGCCACGTAAACTTACTTCATTTGGAATGGAAAATCGGTTTATTTACGCGGTTACGAGGCATTTACGCGTCTCCATGAATACCCATATTTTTTTTTTTTTTTTTGAGAACGGAATCAATTTCAAGTGGAATCTGGTAAATTCTGTTAAAAAGTTCGGACTCGTACGGAATGGCAACAATTTGTGCCTTTAATAATAACCTAATTACACACATTCGCTTAGGCGGTTACAGCGCCAAATAAGAAGAAGAAGAATTACACGAGTATTTTTTAGTGCCCAACTTTGTCAAAAAAAAAACGAAAAAAAAAGTGATTTAATGCCCAGTGGAAATACGTTATTAGTCTGTTGTCCTGCAGTTTTACGTTTTTTACGTATCGGAAAAATTTGTTAATTTAAATTGTTACCTACCTAAATTTAATTTTGCATACTTTTTAGTCCAACCATATCTAAATCTACTCTTTCCCTGTTTTTTCTTTCTTCCAGTTCGTCGCTCGCCATCCTCCTGCCCAGGTCCCAATAACTTGCCACCTCTACAGTTTCACAGCGTCCATGGCGACAACATACGGATATCACGCGATGGCACGCTGGCACGTCGTTTCGAGAGTTTTTGCCGCGCCATCACCTTCTCCGCGCGTCCGGTGCGCATCAACGAGCGCATCTGTGTACGCTTTACCGAGATCTCGAACAATTGGAATGGTGGCATACGTTTTGGCTTCACCAGCAACGATCCGGCAACACTTGAGGGTGCGCTACCCAAATATGCCTGTCCCGATTTAACGAATCGTCCTGGCTTCTGGGCCAAAGCACTGCACGAACAATACTGTGAAAAGGATAACATACTATATTACTATGTCAATTCGGCCGGCGATGTGATATACGGCATCAATAATGTTGAGAAAGGTATTATACTAAGCGGCATTGATACGCGGGGATTGCTATGGACGCTGGTGGACATCTATGGTAATTGCACAGCTATCGAATTTCTGGATGCGCGTGTCTATATGTATCAACAGAGCGGCAATGGGTTAGTTGCCGCAGGGGTAGCGTTGCCTGCCGGCAATAGCGCAGTAATCGGCGCTGGCGGCACTTTACCCGGCCCGCAAATACCGCTCAATCCGCACCATCCACACCAGCAGTCGCGTCGCTCATTGCCCGCCGTCGAACAGGATTTGGATCGTCATGTGTTGCCCTCAATGCAGTCGTTGAACATTTCCATGGAGCAAATGCCATTTGCGCAAGACCTAGCCAATGGACTGCCACCATTGCGTTACAATGCCAATGGACGTCTCATACCGGTACCCTTTCACATCACCAAAGGTCGTAATGTGCGCCTCTCATTAGATCGTTTTATAGCGTCGCGCACCGAAAACGATTTCTGTCAGGGTTATGTGTTCACAGCGCGACCCATACGCATCGGCGAAAAGGTGATCGTGCAAATACTCAAAACCGAGCAGATGTACTTGGGCGCATTGGCGCTCGGCCTTACCTCCTGCAATCCGGCTTCGCTGCAACCTTCCGACCTGCCCAACGACTCTGATTTTCTGCTCGATCGCCCCGAATACTGGGTTGTGAGCAAAGACATCGCCTCGCAACCCCAACGCGGTGACGAGATTGCCTTCTTTGTTGCGCCCAACGGCGAGGTGACGATCAGCAAAAACAATGGACCAGCTGTGGTTGTAATGCATGTCGATCAATCACTGCAATTGTGGGCCTTCCTCGATGTCTACGGCTCAACGCAGTCGGTGCGCATGTTCCGCCAACAGCTGCCCAATATGGTCAACTACCCGCAGCAACCGCTCTCAGCCGCACCTTCGGCACAACGCCTGCCACAACACATCAACATGTCAATCGCCGAATCAATGAATAGTCTGAATAGCCAGATGTCTGAATCGCGTAAGATGTTACACACTTCCGCGCTCACAGTAGCCTCGCACAATACCATGAACAGTTCTGCGGCGACGCTGGCCTCCATGTCGACCAATGCGGCGGGGCAAACGCATTGTAATGTACCTGCAGCTACGATCACGCCAGTTGGCAATACCAATGGCAATAGCACTGCGACGGCGACGGGTCACATGATTAGTATGCCATCGAGTGGTGATCTCATACAGATACAACCCAATGGTGGTGGTACTGTGTTGGTTGTGAATTTGCCGCCCACAAATTCGACGCATGAGTTGAATAGTGTGGGCGGCGGCGGCGGCGGCGGCGGATGCGGCTTGAGCAACGGCATTGGCTCAACGTGGCAAAAGACTTCAGGTGTTTTAGGGGGCGCTTGTTCGGCGATGGGCAATAATCAATACATTGAGGTGAGTAAAAATGAGAAGTGATTGCTGTAAGCTCTAAACGAGACTTAAAATATTTCCTACCTCCCTTCTTGCAGCCCCTAACTTCAGTGAATGGCTGTAACTCCACGCAGGAGATGAACAAGTGGAAGGATACTGTTGATCATAGCGGCAATGGTGGCGGCGGCGCTGGCGCTGAATGCACAATTTGTTATGAAAATCAAATTGACTCAGTGCTCTATATGTGCGGGCACATGTGTATGTGTTACGATTGCGCTATCGAGCAATGGCGTGGCGTTGGCGGCGGCCAGTGTCCACTCTGCCGGGCCGTCATACGCGACGTTATACGCACGTATACCACATGAACGGGCGGCTGAGAGGGCGCGCACAAGCACGCCATTGAGTAGGTGAACTGAAACGGAAAACAATCTACGCTAAAGCCAAAGCGGAAGAAAGTGTAATTCATCTAATTTTCGCTAATGCGAAAAGCGGAAATTAAAAAAAAAAAATAGCATGTAGAAAAGGAAGTACGTAGCAGAGATAGAGAGAAAAGAAAACTTTATTCCTATTTTAGCTAAAGTGTCTCCTGAAAAAATTAAAAAAAACAAGTAAACAAAAAATACCAAAACAAGGGCAAGCAAATCAAATGAAAGCAAAGCCGTCATGTGTTAACATTTAGCACACATTTTATTACGCGCCGTCATAGACAATTAAGCGGTATATATACATATTTAATCGGCTTGTGTGGCCGAATAACTCAAAGAAAAACTCGCAAACTTCTCTGAAGACTAGCACGTATTTTAAAAAGTGCGAAATGATAACCGAAAGGAAGACAGACAGACAACAAAGCAAATACTTAAAAGTGAATTTTTAAGTAAAACAAAATGTGAAAATAAAATGTCCAAAAATTAATGAGAGCGCAGCACTTATGATTAAACGTAAACTAAAGTGTACTAGAGTGTATGAGCGAATAATTGAAACCTTAAATTGCTGTTAACACTAAAACGCAGACTAGAATACTTTAAGCGCATAGTTAAAAAATTCAATTAACATTAAAAAAAATAATAATATAAAAAGAACAAAACAGCATTTACTCTAATGTAGAGCAAACACGCGCGTAAATATACACATACATATGTAGATTTTATATATTGGGAAGCTAGCAGTTTAGAAGTTTTCAAAGCGTATGCGGCGAACAGAGATTACAAAAAAAAATAAATAATAATAATAATAAAAAAATATGAAAGACGAGTTGTAAGTGCAGCACTGAATGGCTTAAATTGTAAATTGGCACTAGACCTAAAAGTAAAAATTATAATTAATAAAATTGAAACAGAACAATATTCTAAAATTGTGATTTTATAAAATGAAAAAAAAAAGATAGTAAACAATGAAAACAGCCTATGCTGGCGACTACCAAAATTTTAATTGTAATTAAATATACATATGTAGGAATTTGTAATTGTAATTAATATAAAAGAAATATATATATAGGCATGCTACTTTATTTGTTATTAAGTTTTCAAAAAATGCCAAATGCAAAAATGAAATTGTTGCAGAAATCTTATTCGTCGCTTATGTGATTAATTAAAAGGCTGATTTTATGTTAAAAAATTAAACTACAAATTATGCGTTAATGCAATGAATTTTAAATAAACATTTTCTCAAATTGCTTTTTACATACATATATAAAATTGCGTTAATAAATTATAAATAATTTTTTGTTTAATTGTACGCATGAAACTTCCCACTTACATTACTAAAGCTTAGAATACAACTTTTAAGAACAACGAAAAATTCATATAAAATTACACTCAAAAAAATAAAAAATTAATTTTCTTTATCAAAATTTCTTAAATCCGTTTGCAGCTCCCAAGCAAAAATGTTCGTATATTTATGCCTTCAAGAAACGACAAAATAATACTGAATAAGTTAATAGTAAAAACAAATATTTTTAAAGCAAGCTTTCTAATATGAACGATATCGGACCATAAATACTGGTTTACCAAATATATCGACTCGTGCACCACCTATCGGCAAAAATTTTAATGGAGTTCCTGTAGTTAATATACGTTCTAAATACATATAAACCAAATACGGGATTCTCAAATATATCGACTCGTGCGCCACCTTTCGTATTAACTCATCTTTCGTATTGCATTGTCATCGGGATCTGAGTCAGCTGTGAAGTTTCAAGTCTCTAGGTCGTCGGGAAGTTGGTCAAAAATTTATTGCAAAATTTTTCCCTAACAAACGTGCATACATACTTACAGAGCAAGTTAAATAAAAGCTCGCAAAAATATGTATTGTTATTTTTCTTGATATCTGCAAACTGACTTGAGAAATTTGGATAGAGAGAACTGAGCGTGTTTTTATATGATTTATTTGTTTTTCTTGTGAGCTGAATACTTTGCTTTTCTTTTTATCGAATTGGCGTTTTTTAAAGAACAAAAACACTTTGCAACCTAAACAAATTTCATTTTTTTTTCTCTCCATAAAAAAAACTTGCCATCAAATCAGCCTTTCTTGAAATTAATTAATCGCATAACATCAATATTTTTTTACTAGCTCGATTTTTTTGTATTAGCTTTGTATCTGTTGTATGACACATTACTGCAGCATTTGATTCAATTAATCGGTAACATATTCCTAGTTACGAGCCTTTATGCACTGCAAAAGAAAGAACAACAAAGAAAACAGCTAAGCTAAAATTGTATTTATTTAATGTGCACTCACCTCATTTTTGCTTTTTTTTTCAAACAAAACTGCCGCAAATACCAAATAAAAAGAAAATTGTTTGGGGTACAATTTGTGCACAAATGCCATTCCTACTACAATAACTGCCTAAGTAAAGTAAACAAGCAATGAAAGACGAACAAATATTGAATTAAAAGCACACATTTTATTTTATTACTACAGTTTACACTCTTTATTATGCATTTTTTTATGCGTAATTTCTACAAATTTCAATACAATATGTTTTTTAGCGTTTGGTTTCTCCACAAGTTTTTAGTAACAATTTCTGTCATACACAGCATTATGAGTAGATTTTAGCAATGCATTTCCATAATAGCGTTTAAAGTACATTTTGATTTTTGAAACGAAAAATCTAGCCGAAATGAAAATGTTCATATTATGCTGCCTTCTAAAATTTATTTAAGCTGCTTATCTAAATATTTTCAAATAATATCACGTAAGCTGTTTTTTTAATAAAAAAAACATTAACACCCAAATTCATGCAAAATAAAGAATACTTTAACTGCTTTATAAATCGAAAATTTCTTTGAACATGTCACTTTATAGAGCTCTTTAAACTTAATTTATTTTTGTATGAATAAGACCATCATTGTGTATGTATAGTATTTTCGCTTTTAACGCAGACTGTAAATAATGTTGTTTTGTAGAATAACCATCAATACACTTGCTTGTTTAAAGTATTTAGCAAACTATTTTCCTTAATATTTTTTGTTGTTGTATAAGTTATGTTAATTTAGATTAAGTTAACTTGAAAAATATATTGCGTGAATACGTTTTAGTTTCTTAGATGTATTAAGACTTGAATATTTATATACGAAAAAATTTGTTTTAAGACTTACCCAGGTATGTTTAATGCTAAGATATTTTTTGTATTAATTTCTAGTCAACGAATATTAAAAAAAAAAAACAGTAAAAGAAATAAATAGATTGTATAAAAACCAGCAAAAGCAAGCGAGATTTAATCGATTTGATAATGAAAAGAAAACACAATGTAGGCTTACAAATGACACACAAAGAACAGTTGTTGTGTTTGAAAAAGTGCAAGCTGAAAATTCAAATGCAACTGCTATAGTTGACCAGCATTATGCTATCACAGAAGTAAACTATTTTAATGCGAATTTTAATTGAAATTAAAATGGTACACATTAAGAAGTTTTTAGGCTTTTTAACAATGCAGTAAAAGAAAAATTGAATTCCTAACAAAACAAAATATTTGAAGAATGATTAAATAAAAAGGCAAGGAAATAAAATCACAAAGCAATAGCAATTGAATTGAGGAGCCAAAATAAAAACTTAATAAACATCACACGATTTTGAAGTAAAAATATGTTACAACACATGTCACAGGAGTGAGGAAAATAGCTAATTCCAACTGAAGTCAAATAAAGTTCTTAAAAATGTTAACAGATTATTTGTGTAAAACAGCAAACCAGCGAAAGAATAAAAGAAAACTTTTCTTTAATTTTTTAATTTTCACTCAATTATTGCATGCAAATTTTTACAAAAGAATATTTTCGTTAAACACAATGTTATGCGCAATCAAAAAAAAAAAAACAAAACACATCCAGTAGTATATTTAAACTTATTAAATTCACTATATATTTTTATTCTTTACATCATTGACGATCGATAACACCAAAACGAAGTTATACGAAAAAAAGTTAACTACTTTTTCTGAAGTAAATATTGCAATTAGAAAAAAAAACAGAAAATAATAATGAAACATCAACACACTTTCGTACATACATGTTAATGCATGAATACATACTTGAATAACTTAACTATACGTACGTATTTATGTACATATATACATTTATCAAAGATCCATTAGTTATGTTTATATAAATAGTATTAATAAAAATGAACCTATACACAGAAATTATAACTATAAATAAACACTTAATTAATTTAAGTTATTTACATTTCAAATCATCAACATGAAATTGTATACATTTTTATACGTGAAAATTGTAATTTTATCTATTATGCCCAATTATGAATTTTATTTATTTATTTTTCCTTTAATTTAATAATAAAAACACGATCATTACTTTAATATGAAAAACTATATACATACATATTGCACTGAATAGTTAATAGTTAGGAGCCGCATCGAACCGAACCATGGATCAAATAGTGTTGGGTCTGCAATTGTAAATGCTAATTCAAATTTATAAAATAAACTAAGAATATCAATTTATTATATAAATATATAACGACGATGGCGAAAGGAAGTTTTATTGTAATAAGTTATTAGAGTAGTTCGTTTTGCATGACAAAATAAGCCAAAACTGATAATAAAATAAATTAAAGAGGAGCATAATGCATGCATACATACATACATATGTACGTACACGTGCGTATGAAATGGAGCGAAGCCAATAAAGTTAAAATAAACCAAAAAATTTAAAGAAAGCCGTTTTTATACATATATAAAATAAAATTCTATACTCTTACAGCTTTTTATGTGATCAAATATGCTTGGACATCACCTCTCGCAGGGTGTTGCTGTTGTTAATTTCTTTTATTTCAGCGATATTTCACCCCAAGAATGGGTTAAGAATGGCGTAAACAAATAAGGAGGAAGTATCAAGCACACTCGTTACAGTACTCCAATATTGACGATCTTAACTCCAAATTACAGTTTGTTTTAGAGTTTAGAAGTGATTAAAAACCTCTTAGTATAATTCTTCTTATTAAAAATTCTTTAAATAAATAAATTTTTTATTTTTTTTTTTTTTTTTTTTTAAGATATAAAGGGGCGATGTGTATCCTGATAAAAATGGGTTTAGCTGCATTCCAATAATATGGGTAAAAACCTTAATTTTCCAAAACTCCCTCCGGTTTTGAAAGTTGTAGTTTTTTTTTTGTGGAAAATCTAATAACACTGATTTGGTATGAATATTTGGCGGAGCTTTCTAATGGATAAAGGCAATTGGCGAAGAAAAGATTTCAGTAAAAATTAAGATGAAGAATCTGTTGTTCGGAACTGTAGAAGCCATTAGTACATTTTATTTAATGTACAGATTGGATGTACGGTTAAATAAATTGACATTTTTATGTGAATAAAGAATTTGGGTCAGTTCGTAAATTCAACCCGCAAAGGCAAAGGATTGAACTATTAAATCATAGAAATTCATTATTTTCTCAATTTATCCATTCGGGATTTCACCATGTTACGCACGCTGGACATTAGTTGCGTTTTTTTACTCATTTCCAGTAAAATCCAGTAAAAGTTTTTACGAATTTTCATGTTTTGACATTTTCGTACGCAAAAACTTGCAAAGTAGGGGAAATTGAGAGAGCGATAAATGACAGCTGAAGTTGCAAGTTTTTACTGGATAAATTTTTACTTGTAAGAATTTGCCAGTACGGAAAACAGCTGATCCCATGCTGCTGGATGAAATTTAAACTAATAAGGAAACTGTTTGTGGCTTTTTATTGTAGAATTTCAAAAAATAAACCTATTTAAATACAAAATATATTGTTTTATAAGGAATTTGCTGCGAATAAACAACCAATTTATCAGCTGTTCATGAAACTTGCAAATTATTACTGGAAAAGCGTTCGCGTACTTTTTTGCAAATTTTTTCTATGAGAGCGAATTCTTAGAAATAAAGTTACTGGAGAGTTACTGGCAAGTTACTGGATAATTTGTATAACCGGAAAAATTAGACTACTAACCGCTTCCGCTATGCGAATGAAGCAAATGTGCCTGCAATTTGGAAGCACTTTTTTAATTTTCAGAGAACGTAAATAATGTCAAATATGTCAAATGTTACGATCTCTGTTCGAAATGTCAATGTTGTTGTTGCAAAGGAAAAGAAAAACATCTTGGTTACAAATGTCAATATTGCAAAAATCAACAAATCGAGGTTTTAAGCACTTTTCACCGCGAAAATAAATAAACTGAGTTGGAGTTCTTGTGGGACAGCTTGAAAGTGGCTACATACAGAGCTACTTCTGTATACACCTGCTGAGCACACCTCAACAAAAAAGGTAATCTTTCTGGAATGTTGGGGGGAAATCCAAAGGCAAATTGTCTCAATAATCCTTAAACTTATATATGCTTCACTGAACTGAAACACGAACTAATCTTTTCATTAAAACTCTTGAAAAAACAGCTAATTTATAATGGAAAAATATAAGCCTATGTCATGGTATATTGGAACGGAGTGGTCAATGCCACGCAAGGGTTTGCGCAAGCAAGTGCTTTCCCTCGAAAATTTCAAATATCTGGATAAACCCCATTTGGTATCAAAGGTTGTCATAAAAGTCGAAGATGTACACAATCTGAATGGACGTAAAAGCCAATACCTAGTAGACGAGGCGCTTGGCCAAGAGCAGCTACTTGAAATGGGCGCCGCACTTACGCCAGTTGACTGCTATGTTGAATTGCTTGTGCGCCAGCTAGTGATGGGTGAACGTGCACGTTGCTTCATTGCCACAAAACTTGAGGAAATAAGTTTTGTCTTAACACTTATAAGCATAGAAGAATCAAAAGAAATACAGAAATTAAGTGTGCCAGAAATGTATGCGCTAGCGTTGCGATACAAGGAAAATGGTGTGATAATGTTCAAGGAATATCCACTCTTTGCGCATGAATATTTTGTACGCGCCGCTAAGTGCTTGATCTCTTATAAGCCCCACGAAGGTTTGACAGTTAGTGCAGATGGCATGTCAGGTGAAGATATGCAGAAGTTATTCACACAAGTACAAACAAATCTGGCGGCTTGCTTGTTGAATCAAAAGCGCTACGAAGATGTACTATATCAGACAAAATGTGTCGAAGAACAGCCAGATGCAACAGAAAAAAGTATTTACAGACGAGCAACCGCATTTTACCATCTTAAAGAATTTGAGAAAGCAAAACAAACGATCGAACGTGTACCAAATTATCAAGAGAAAAAGGATTTCGCTAAACTACTTCAACGCATACAGGAAAGTTGGAAATCTAGTAACGAGCTCTATAAGAATTTAGTACAGCGTATGTTTAGCTAAACTCCTTTAAAATTGTTGAAATTCAGAAAAGCATTTGTTAAAAAGTCGGTAGAATTAAGAGATATTTATGGAGTTCACAAGACGTCGGAAGCGCCGTAAAGTTTTAAAGTCGAATTTTTATACGTAAAATAACGGCTAAAATCTCTTTAGATTTGTAACTGCACCCAAATGTCTTTAAAGTGATGGAAAGTATATAATTGGTACATATTAATCCCCCAACACCCATTTTACCGTAATTTTACATCGAATCATTTTAAGACTTTACGACGCCTACGACGTATTGGGAATCCTCGAATTGAATAATATTTTATGTGTTCTAATAAAAACAAAATCGAGAAAGTACCTTCTAAAACTTAGATTTTCTTTAGTACAATTAACATTTTTTGTATTTATTGTAATGTATCACTTCTTCTTGTCTTGCGCTTTTTTCAGTTTCTTATTCTTAAACTTCATGCCCGTCGGCAGGCTGCCTCGCTTTCGCGATTTACTTTCAGCCCTGAAAAGCTCTGTAAAGTAATATAAGGGTACATTCCGATAAGTTTTTGTTTTTTGATTTTTGTATCAATTCATGCTCACCTTCATCAGGCTCTTCGCCAACTTCCTCTTTATAATATGCAGCATCATTTTCAGGTTCGCTATCCTCTTTCGCTTCATCTCCAATAGCTGCTGCTTCGAGTTTAGGTTTCTTATGTTTTCCTGTTGCTTCCTCTTTCGTGCGTATATTACGCGCTCGATTGTCTTCCTGCACCTTTTTGCGATACTCTTTGAGTTTGCGTTTCTTCTCTACCATTTTACGCAAAGC